CTGTCTGGAAACTTCGCCTACGCTAGATTCACTTTCAGTCTTTTCCGCCCACTCATTCCTCCATTATACCGGGTCACAAATTCATATGAGTGAAAACGGAGTTGGAGGGGGCCATTCCATTGCTCCCCCAAAGCTAATGGCACTATCTAATGGAGCCGTATGGAGTTCCTACCACGAACGTTTTTCTCTATTAGATAATCAATAAGTCAATCGGCTGGTAAACACTAGGTAACTATGTACTTTGTATTATTTTCTTGATTGGCCAGTGAAATAAATAAATAAATAAATAAATAAATAAATTCCTGCTTTACGGCTCTAAAGATGAGGATCAAGATAAGGCTGAGCATAACTCTAACGATAGGCTTGTGAATTTCGATAACACGCTCATTCAAAGTAACTAATTGATGAGAACTAGTGAAATGCCTACATCATCGACTCCAATACATTTTTTTGGCACATTTTAGATAGTCCATTGAAAATGCGCCAAAAATGTATCGGATGTCTATAGTTGACCTGTGGAGCTACTCCCCCACTCTAACCTTTCTCCCTGGGTTATGCAAAAATATCCGACTATCGGCTCACAATCGCTCCACTTGGCAATCGGCTAATTCAGCCGTTTCTAGCCAAAAAGCTTCTCTGGAGTGAAGACGATCGGAGCACTTTCCCTTATCGACACTCTTATCTTGATCCTTATAATTAGAGCCGCAGAGCAGGACGAGGTACCCCTTCAAAGACCATTTTCACCTTTGTATTTCCACTGTTTCAGAGACCGACCCCGACTGGGTTCGAGAAGCTCCCAACCTCATGCTGCTTTGTTGATATCCGAAAATAAATCGACAATAATGAGATTTTTTTCGAGATAACTGCTTTGAGAGCAATCTTCGAGCTACGGAAACAAGCGCTCAAGCATTCAAAGACCTACTGCTCGAAATAACACGAAATAGTGACCAATACAACATACAGTGAGAAGTGCACAGGTGAAAATATTCGCCAGAGATTTGTCATCGATGCTTGTGAAGCTGTAGACCCTCCCTTGATGGAAGGAAATATGTACCAGGGTCGAACCTCGGAGAAATTCTAATTGTAATCTTTCCAGGTGTTCTCGACGGAAAAAAAAGAAGTTTGCAATAAAACTCCATGCATTTAGGTGGGTTTTCTGTGTATGAGTTCCAGCTGGACTTCTTCATGCTACGACTGTTACATTCAGCCGCAGTCGAAATACGACATGATGTTATGATGAATAAAGTTGTAAAATTAGTGGGAGAAATGGCTTACGCAAGTATTGACTCGACAGAAAGAAATGAAGGCTCGCTATACTTGAATTTCTTCACAACGCTGTGAACATACTCAAGTTAAGGTCCGTGACAGAACACTAGGCGTCAATCGCATTCTTTCACATGGTAACATGAAATAAAGTAAAACATATGGTAACAAGAGCGCCCTCAAAATATCGTTGCTTCAACACTAATTGAAGGAATGTCAAGGAATAATTCTTGCACTCCTACTCAACTGAGCACGTTAAGTGTGGTTATTAGAGACAACGTAAAATGTTTCACGCTACAAATGAGACTCATCTTTCAAAGAAAACAAACTGCAAAAAACCAGCCGTGGGGATGGTCGCAGGTAGATAGGGCGGGGACAAGGGAATGCATGGAAAGAATTGCGCCTTAGGGTGACCACGTATCCGCACTGAATGAATCAGGCCCAAGCGTTGCATTTTGGAGACGGATACAAAACGATTGAAAGAGAGGATGCATTAGGAAAGACACATGTTACACCATAGATCGAAAAGGCCAAAAAGCCTTGCTGAAGGGGCTCCGAGAGCCGCGTGGAATCGTTCCCATTGACAACATCTGTAACAAATGTACGGCGGCAATTTGAAAGCGTAACCATCCTTACGGTCTTTTCGAATCGGCTTAAGGTCGCGTATCTACCAAACTCAGACGAAGTGTTCCTAGGATGGCTTCACTCATGCATAAAAGTATATGGCACTACACCACCTTGCCCGGCACAATACCACCTTCTCAACAAGATTCTGATCCGATACTTAGAACAGCAAGCAGTTATAAAAAACAATATTGAGAAGATACGAGGTGGCGGATGGAGCTCCAGACTGAGCTTGAGGTCTTCTTCCTAGAACAACTTGGTTTTCTTCGCCGAATGATCTTTCATCTGTCCCCAAAAGTCCAAGGGGATCCGAGCGAGTTTCGCCGACCCTTATCCAGCTAGGAGAGAAGAACTCGGCGCTGTTCTACATTCTGTGTATATGAAAGCAAGTCGCAGAAAATGGTACTCCCGGGAGACCACTAGGCGCTAATCACCTCTTTTTGTCTCCGAATCACTCTGTTGGTTCCGGGTCCTCATCGGCTGCCCGTCCTCCTCATAAGACGATGTGGCAGAAATCCAGTGAAAATCACCAAGAGAAAACGTTGTATGAATTGCGGTCCCACTCTCTTCGCACTTCTAAAGACATTAAGATCAAGCCGGCGGGGGAATTCTTCTCAAATATAAAAGTACAGTTGCGAAGAAGAGGCAAATTAGGGAGTCCCTCAAGAGGCTCATCGCGCGGCGAAGGAAGAGAAGCAGATGCGGCAATGGAGGAGTCCCAGTCGCGTGCTGTGCGACATGAGACGTAGCATTTTACCCTCCATTTAACCTGACGCCTAACCGCCACAGTAGGCGCTACGACACGTCCTTTGCCGCGTCTGCGTCTCTTTCTCTGTAGATGACATGATTTTGAAGCGGCGTGCGAACCTGCGTAGTGTACTACCTGGCCCCTACTCTGGTTACCTGGTTAGTCACGTACCCGATTGATTGTAAGTACATGTATCTTAGTATGGTGCTGTCCCGAAGCCTCATAAGTACATGTAAGTATATGTGTTACGTCGGGCTATTCCTCAAAAACAACAGCATTCAACATTTCTTTCTGGATATACTGTAAGTGAATGGAATTTCACATAGAGCTACATAAATTAGAAAGGGCTAAAATCAGCTTGCGTTGAAGCCGGAAATTTCTAGGAAAAGCGAGAAATCAGTTTGCTACTTGCAGGTGCTTACAGAGAGTAATTGGTACTCCATTATAGGCATGTTAAATGGTCACAACCTGATGACTAGCTTCCTTTGAAAAGTGCTTATACATTCAGAGCTTGCTGGAACAGGAACAGTTGTTTGACAACAGGGCTAGGACCTACGAGCAGGGTCAACCGTCACGTTGGACAAATTTCAACACTTTTACGACCTCCCCCCTTCTGGAGGGCCTCGATATGACCCCCCCCCTAGCTGTTACTATGGTATTTGATTCTGAGACCAGTTGACACAGCTCAACTCCACCCACATTTCCTCCAGAATAGCCGTCGAGCGGAGGGGGAACGATATTTTTTTCTTAGCACTCACAAAGCGTAGAGAGTCACAATACGAACGACCCCCATTGGTGTAGGACTGAGGCTGCCTCTGACCTTGCAAATACCACCCCCCCCCTTTTCGTCGGCCGAATACCACCCCTCCTCGTTGGGCTTTGTCCAACGGACGGGAGCTTTTACATGGTGAAATATCGTCAGGACTGGAAAACAGTTTTTGAATATTGTAGGCCTACGAGTCATTTTCTGTAGGACTAAATCCAGCAGAATTTGTTAGCAATTGAGAGCAATTGGATATAAATGTATCCGATTTTGAATTTGGTAGTGGGTGACTGTAGACAGCCGTGACAGCAAACGATCCTCCATAGAGGCCATCAAGAAAGTCGTCTGAGAGTGAAGAATGTTTTTAGTCCAAGAAATATATTACATCTAAAACGAACCAGTTATTGAAGGTGCATATCGATCCTTGGCAGACCTAAAGCTAGGAGAAAACAAGGCAATACTAATTGGATATGAATGAAAGTGCAATCTATCAGCGATTATTCCCTAACTTCATGTACATAGGTATGGCATGATGTTTGAACAGCCGAAGTCCTAATGGAAATATACAAAAACGTTCAAAATTGTTCGCCGAAGCGATTTTTCGTGCATTATTTTTCACTTGAGCAATACCCTCCAAAGACGTGGTATATGCTTTATGGTGTTTTGATCCGTTGATCAATCCTTTTTGGGATGCGGCACGCATTCTACTTCCATTTGCACATTCTTAGTGGTGTTTGAATGCGATTAGGCCTATATAATGACTTGCGAGGGCCAGCCTATGTACAAGTCAGTGTTTTTATTCTCCCAGACAAGTCTGGTACCAATTAATCGATCCGGAAGGATGGGGGGCTTGGTTGGCCAGGGCGATTCACGACCCAGGATTTGATACCCGGACCGCTCGCGTGGTGAGCGTACCATTTGCCACCACACCAATTTCGCCCCAAGAATCAAGAATCAGTATATTCAAAAGAAAAATGTTTCGAGACCACTGTTGGTTTCTGGCAAAAGAAAGGAGGAGCGAAAATCCGTTTTGACGAACACTTTTGGTCGCCACTGTATGCCTATCGCGTCCAAGTTCTTCTTTTTTCATTTCAGCTGAAAGTGATGTAGCTAGATAGTCGATCAAGAACCCCTTCCTGAATACGTCCCCTACAGCGCGGTGTCTAAAGAATCGGCGGGCATTTGCCAACCTGGACGGTGTCGCTTAGAGCCACTGGTCGGGATTAGGTGCCAAGAGCTGGTCCCTCCTTAAACCAAAGAGGGGGGCCTCCATGCACAGGAGTTTACTACACTGTTCCGCCTCAAAGTGCGCGGAAAGGGCGCTATGGATTAGATTGGGATCCATACTGCGCTGCAACTAGGCCCCCTTACCGCAAAAACGCCGCACCTTACTGCCTTTACCATCTGCCCTGTTGCTTGCACGGGCGCTACACTACCCTGAAACGGAACCGCTTAGTAGAATTCACTACTTTTAAAGTCATATTTCAAGCCTGAAACTCCAAGGGTACAGAGGTGCAGATCCTGCAAGCAGCCAATTGGTCGGTTAAACATCGACATGCCATGGATATTGTGCGAATCTCCGACTGTAACGCGGATAACTACTACGTAAAGCATCATGTTCCCACATTCGACGAATTTACCATCAATATATGGTGACAATTTTGACGGCATCTTGCTGCCATTGTACACTGAACACAGGTGTTTATTCAAATAGCGAATTATAGTGCATTTTTTGAATATCGAGTCACATTTCTCCATTCATTAATGGTTTCGACCGGTGATTTATCCTAAGTAGTTTTTGAGTTGAACTGTGATTGAACCAAGGTATTGATCCTCAATCACAATCTTCTTGTAGCTGCATGGAAGCACCTGAATATTCTTCAAAATGTAGGATTCTGCCAGCTGCCTGCCAGGATCCCCAATCACTTTCAAGCCGTCAGAGCAAGGTCATCGACGAAAGTTTATGTCACCATTCCAGAAACTATAGCCCTTGAGCGTGATGGTGAGCTCAATACTCTCTCTAAAAAGGCTTTGGAAACCCCCAAAAAGTAATTATGCAGTAGTAGTTGGAATATGAGAGAAATAATAGGAGTACTGAATCAGAAAGCAAACGATGACACCAGCCAACACATCCTAAACCCTAGGGAATGCAAACGGAGCCCGAAGACAAGCAAAAACAAAATCGTAAAGGGTGGAACTTGTTGACAGAATTACATGCAATTCATTCAATGAAACAATGGGCAATATCGATCACAAGAATCAGCCTTTCACTTAATACTAGTAGTAGTATGCCTATCCTGGATCCAGTATGTGAATGACAACCCCATGGATGTTAGCGGAACTAACTAGGAAAGTTAAGCAGGTCGTTGAATTCATCCACAGATCAGAACTACTTCCACTGTCTGTTAAACGACTCTCTGACCAAAGATATAAAGCAAAGATGTGCAGTTATTGCAATTTGGGCTAACAGTCAGGAAGCCGTTGGATCGACTATTTGGTCGGTTCCCTCCTTTGCTGTTTTTGGTAACGTGCCTAGAAAGACTTCTCTACTTCATAAGCGCTTGCCTATAAATGCCTGCGTGAAGAGTTTGCGAGCAGTCAAAGGCATACCTCAGGCAGAAGTCTGGTCAACGATCCTCTTCAATCTGTAGGATAGAGCACTAGAGAGTAGTCACAGACGCTGCACTCATATGCATGGAAATCACCCTAAACAAGCGCTAGGACCTTGCAACCTCAGCTGCAACAGCTGCAATATTTCCTGTTCGCGGCAGGCAGGCAGCCTGGCGCTCTCTCATCTCTTGCGCTCCCTCACCTTATGCTTTCCCCTTCGCGCTTACACTCACTGCATCTTCACAGCTGCATACGAAGGCGGGCACGAACTCAACTTGAGTGTTTCCTAAAAAATTTTCCATTTTTCTTTACTGCCAGCCCATTACACACAAAGCCCTCATATTCGCGTGCACGAACCACATCAGTTTGATTTTGAGGCATGCCGTTGAGTGCACGTTCAGTAAGGATGTTATGTAAAACAGCGCAGGTGGAAGCCCCCCCCCCCCTCCCCACTCCCCTAGTTCCTTTCAAAGCATCGTTTAGCAAACATGGAGTGCTGAGCTCAAGAGTAATGCAACGATATAAACCTCATTGCGATCAAACCGGCTATTGACCTTTCCTGGGGTCCCTATCCTATCCTTCCCCTAGGCCAGGGGAACAAAAGGCTCCTCTGAATTTATTTGTTTCCAACGACGAATTTCCCTTACCTTCCGTACGCGCTTTTACAACAAGTGTACATTACACTAACTATGGATTTTTTGGGGCGTTTCGTACGAAACACGAGGAAAATTTTGAAGGGACTATCTATTTCTCTAGCCTGGGAGAAAAAGCTTCTCGTGAATATTTCGCAAAGGGTCGGAAGTGTCGGTCTAGTTGCCATCGAGAGGATATCGCTAGTTGTACATGTTTATAGGCATTTAATACTGAGCTTTTCAGTTGCGGAAAAACATTGGACAGAAACCATTGAGAATATCGCAGTATCAATTTTAACTGCTCATCTCAGTTGTAATCCATGGCGGTATGCACGTGCACTTTTTGTTTTAGGAACAGCAATAAGTGTCTGTGGTAAAAATTCATGATCGATTTCTATAAATTACGATTCAAGGAAAGGTTGGCAGCCCCAGGCAACACAAAAATGGGGCAGAAGCAAGGTAGAGGACGTACCGCCAGAGTGCGTTGCGCAGTTC